ACCCCGGCACTCCACCCCTAATCTTGGTAACTCCACTCAGGACACACCCTTTCCTCTCACACGATGGATGTGTGCAGACAGAGCCAAACCTCTTCCAGGGTGGTCTGACTGGTGTAGAGCAGAGTCAGCCATCACCTTTCTTTTTCTGGAAGCTCCGCTGGGTCCAGCCTGCCTGAGGTTTTTTTGGCACCCACATCCTTTGGCTGACTCACGCTGGGCCTACAAGGCGTCTGGACAGCTAAGTCATTTGTCACACGTGCTCCTGTTAAACCACATCTCCTTCAGCTTTGTGCTTCTGCTGTTGTTTTGCTTTTACAAATGTTCATGGGTGTTTTGAAGTTCAATAGTTTGATCTACATAAACTGCTAATCTCAGTTCCTGGTTGGCCGGGGCTAATGTGGAAGCAAACTGTGCCACAAAAAAAAAAAAAAAAAGCACTTTAGAACACACCCTGGACACAGAAACCCTCTGTCATTCTGAGACCATTGTGGTGAGGAGTGATTCAGACTCACTGCAGCTCCAACCAGCCTTCACAGATCTAAGAGGCTGTCTCGCATTTGAAGACGCCTTTTATGAAGGAAAGGCCACGAGGTGGGTGTGGGCTGTGATGCTCTGCAGGAGCTGAGCCCTGACGGAAGGAAATTGGAAGGGGATGTTTGTCTGGTTCCCCACAGCTCCCACCTTCCTCGGTCAGGGAGAATCGGACCATTGTCTAGGTGGAACACTTGGCTTGTTTATCTTCATAGGCCCAGCTTGGTACAAGGTTTCACTTAGTTTTCCTTCTACCCAAAAAAATGACCACAGGAAGGGGCTGACCTGCCTTTGGCAAACGTCCAGTTCATGCTCTCCTTTGCCGTTTCCCTGCCTCTTTCCTCTATCACTGGCTTCTCACAGAAAATAAGAAGAGCAAGCTTCTCCTTTGGTTCCAGTAAAAGCAGCATTTAGTCATTCATTCGTTCATTCATTCATTCATTCAGTACCTAGTATGTGCCAGGCATTGTTCTAGGCTCTGGTGATCCTAAAGTGAAAGACACAGTCCCACACTGACATCCAGAGGTCACAGTGCAGGAGGAAGCTCAGCAATATTCGAGGCAGCACAAGGGCAGATGGGAGCACATGGAAGAGGCATTTGACCCAGCCTGAGGGGGAATTAGAAAAGTTTTCTAGGAGAGGAAGCATATGGGCTGATCTTAAATGTAGAGTAAAAGTTAGCTATGACAATAATAATTATTAATGGTTATTAAATATTGTTATAGTTTTCATTAAGCATCTTCTATGTGCCAGGTACTGTTAAAATCTTTGCATATTATTTTATTTGACTCTTCACAACACCACAAAGAGAGAGCTGCTGTAGTTATTCCAACCTCACAAATGAGAAAAGTGAGATTTAGAAAGGTCAGTTTGCTCACAGTTTGACTGGCAATAAATGGCAGAAGTGAAATTTAGACTCAGATTTTTCGCACTCCAGAGTGCATTCTTTTACCCACGGCTGCTGTGTGTGTGTGTGTTTGTGCATGTTGTACACTACACAACTCCAGTGATTTCCTGCCTTTCATGATGCATTATGCACAGGAAGGATATCCAGGCAGAAGAAGCCTCCCTTACAGAAATATGAGAAAACAACCTGTATTTGGGGAACTGGCTCTGCAATGCAGCTATATTAGGGGCAAAGGAACTCTATGAAGATGGGCAGGTCCTTTGCACCTCCTGGGATTGCTTATGGAACTGGCTGCTGGTATCCTGGGACAGTTCCTGGGTTTGTACTTA